TGATGTGAGATGAAATTTGGGCCAGAACATGTAACTGTAGATTTGGGCCAAGCCCTGTATTCTGAAGCTTCAACGTGCCAAAGTGGATGGGCTGGCATGGTCCAACAAGGCTTCTCTAAAGGGGAGTGGGCTTTGCCTTATAATGGGCTAGTAATAATGTGATTCAATCAATTGTTTGTTAAATATTATTTTCTCTATTCTTAATATAAATTCAATAGACACCGATTTTATATGTGGATTCATCTACTTTAATTGATTTTATGAGGGGTTTCTTCTGGCATAATCTAAGATTATTTATTTACTTCAAATATTTGACTTTTCTTTTGTCAAATTACGCATATAAATACATTTAAAATGTGTAAGTCACGCGTAGCATGTCGTGATTTAAAAAATATCTTCTGCACGCGCGTGCATGAAGGCTAGTGAATCATAAACTAAACACAATAGTTTGGTTGTAGTTAGACGCGCGTGAGTGCTTGGTGAATCAAGAAACTTCATGGATTTGGGATACCCAACAATCAACACGCATACAATATAAGTTAAAAATGAAGACTATCGTATCAGTTGGTTATACCAAAAGATTTTTTGGCATCCGGAGGATTATTCTTCCATAGAAATTTCAAAAGATGAGAAAGTTGAACTAATCAAATTTCAACAAGTTTGAAAAATTAACCATTTATATGTACAAGGATCTTGATTGATGTGTTACATTGATTTGAAAAATGGTCTTGAAGTTATGGAGTGAGACATTCATTTAAAATTAACAAAAAATGTAATAATTAGAAAAATGGTTGTCTAAATGGTGGGGTATTGATTGACACATGACCTAAAATAGAGGAAAAATCGTACAGTACCAGAAATGTTTCGTTAAGACTTCCTAAAATTTTAAGTGTAACTTCTGGACTCTAACAATCAACTTCTAGGGTATGTTGCGGTGACGGATTTTCAAGACTCAAGAGATTGATGTTGTTTAACATTATAAGGAAGTATGTAAACATTGAGGGATTTTTCAGCGTACTTGCAAGATGGGGTGGTACATCATATGTAATACAAGTAGAGGGATTTCTTATAAAGTGTTCTTTCACTAATATAATGACATAAAACGTATATGTCTTTTTTGAGCACACTGAAAAATTTGTTGTAAACACTGGCCTTCGAATTTAATGAAATTTTCTATCGTTTGACGTAACGTGGGAGATGATATTTTATTGACAGCATAAAATCTTTGAAAGTCGGTGTTTTACTAACAGCTACGTGAGGGATGGTGTTTTACTAACAGCACAAAATCTTTGGAAGTCTGTTGAAATCCCACCAAATTAAGAGACGTTTCTTGTCACTGAATTAAACCTGATCCTGATCTGAATTGTGATTTTGAATCATAAAGCCTGAAAACGATGTGATAGAGAGAACCAATTTATAAATGTTTTTTTTTTTTGGAGGGTACCAATGTCATTTGACAAAGCTATTGCCTAGTGTAAATTTGCAATGATGAACGGAGTCATTTTTTTTGTCCCTTCTTCGGCGGTTTTTTTATTGTAATTATGCAAAACGAGGGTGCTAAAAATGTCAAATGGTTCAAGACTTTTGTACGCTAACTTTTTAAGCCATACATATGATTAGTAACAATTCCCTTTCCTAAGACGGCTGGATACCACATGATCATTTAGTCCAATATCTTAGGCCATCTCCACTTGGGGAGGCGAAATGTCCAAAAGTTGATAAATTGTCATATTTGTCAAGTGTAGCCTCCTTTTAGTTCCTTTTGGAAATTCATCTTTTCGATTGTAATAATTGATTTAAATTTAATGATTAGAGTTGAAAACAATCAATAGTAGTTTAACCTAATTAACTAATAAATTTAAAATATAAACTTAAAACTAATAAATTGTTGAAAGGGCTATGTTTAGCTCATATGGTTGGAGATGGTATATGAGTGACCTGACACTATTACTTTAAAAATAATTTTTTGTAAGGTTATAATTTTGATAGGACTATGTTTAGTCTTTTCAATTGGATGTGACCTTAGTGGATAAGGTATTGGGTTTCTGCTCATGCCTCACGTATTCAAAACTCCCTCTCTTCTATATTATTGCAATAGTTTTGGACCATTCTTCATTCCCTTACTAATAAATTTGGTGTATTCGTCACTTTATTTTTATTTTATTCAAAGAGATATTGAGTTTAAATCTCATGGGTTGCAGTTTATAACTAAAAACAAAATAATTTCCACATATTGTCAAGATTCTCTAAAAAAAAAACTCAGTAATGTTTAGATTTGAATTTGTAAATGACAGATTCAATACTATTTTTTTTCCACTCATATAAATATACTACTTTCAAAAGCCACTTTTGTCCTTTTATTTATTTTTTATTTGAAAACAGGTAATATATAGGTTGGCAACCCAAAAATTGTCTTGTAAAGGAAATAAATATTCAAGCTTTGATGATTCTACCGATATCTGCGGTTATCAATCCACGTGCATAGAGTCAACAACATAATTAAATTTCAAAAACAAAATATATAATAATAACACGAGTAAATTGATAACACTGATGTCGTTGAAAAACTATATGGTAGTCGCATAAGTCCAACACGACCTTTATGTGAAAAGAAAATTCAAATCAAACTCAAAGTGAAAAGGAGTTGGTATAATTCCAAAAACAAGCACAATCTCTATTACTAAATTCCACAATTGGGATGATTACATTTTTTATACACGTTTCTCAAAAGTTGTTGAATTCTCAAGTCCAGCCGTAAAAGACCTTTCTGCGTTCATACATGATTATAAAAAAAACTAATGAAATACCTTAAAAACTAATAAAAAAACTAAGAATTGATTTTTTAGTGTAAAAATGTGATTTTTCGTTAAAATAAACAGTACCGAGAACTTTTTGTTGAAACTCCCATGATTATATGCTTCAATGTCCATCTTTGTCCATCTACCAAAAGGACCATGACCATCCTTTCTGATATGGAATGTAAATTACAAGGTCATGACAGCGTGCTCGTCTTTTTACAGGTAAATGTTTTTATTTTTAACATCTTTTTTGTTCATTTTGTGCTTTTCTAATTGTTTATTTTCATTTGTTTGTTTAATTCAAAACTGTTACAAAAGAGGGTGTGGGGAGTGAAAATTACTACCCTATTTATATTTGAGCCAAATCTTCATCTGTGTATTGGAATAATGTCTGTGTATTGGAATAATTTTCTTTAGGGTGAATTTGTAACACTATTTTTTTTATACAACGTTTGACATAAGTTTTTTTGAGGTTCACTCCATAATATATTTCAACGATCTAAACTATCTAACTTTTAGGTCTTCTCTAAAAGATCATGTTTACCAATAAAATCACTAAAATCTGAAATCATTTGACCGTTGAAGTATTCGTTCATTTTCTTCACTACAAATGAATGTTTTAATGGTTTTGGATTTGTCTATTTAAAAAAATGATCTATGATGATGTTTTAAAAGAGAAACGATTCAGATCGTTGAGATATATTATGACTGAGAATAAAAAAAATGTGTGTAAAAAATTATGTAAAAAAAAATTGTGCCACAATCCACCCTTATTTTCTTTTTCTTTTTTTTTTTTTTTGTCAAGGGGAAGATGTTATTCCAACCAAACACACAGATACACAAACTTACAAACAGACATAGGCCCAACAACACCTACAAACAACCAAAAAGGCCTAAATAGAAAGAAAAAAACAACAAAAACAGAAAATGAGCCCAAAACGAAAGAACATCCGAGAAGCAACCACTGCATTCTCTATTGTTGATCCGAGGACCTTCCAGCCAGCTGATTCTCCGACCACCGCCGATCATCTCCTTCTCTGACGCTTCATGTGCACAGCCATAAGCAAGGGGTAATTGGCATCCAAGCGAAAGAAGCCAATCACCAGTTTGATGCTTAGAAAAATTCCCCAGCAACACAGCCGAAAACAGCAGACACAAAGGTGAACGTGGTGGTGTTGAAAACACCATTGCCAGTGAAAGCGCTGGAACTCTACACACGAACTCCACAAAGGACATGGCTGAAAATTGAAGCAAGAAAAAACCAGGAAAATGAATACCCACGGAGTTGGAGGAATTAGATAGACCGAATTGAAAATCGGGATAACCAACAATAGATGTAGGGAGAAAAGAAGGAAAAAATAGAGAAAATGACACAACAACCAACCCTAGCCTAAGCTAGAGCCGGTGCCATCGGAGATGCTGGAAATTGAAAGTCTCACATAAGCTCTCTCACTTTGAACAGAAAGAACTCTCACACCGAAGAGAAAGAAGAAAGTTTTTACCCTTCTTTTCTTTATGTAGCAAACACGTATGTGTAAATTAAAATTCGTAATCTAACAACTAAAATATTAAACATAATTTACATTTTAAATAAGTAAACATGCATTTTAAATACAATTTTACCCCATGAAAAAAAACAAGCCGCACCTTTTGGCTTTTACTCAAAGAAAGAATTTAGGCACCCAACAAACCCGGAGCACACGTGGCAATAATTATGACCGACCCGTAAAATAATACAGATGCAAGTCCAACAAATGGCCCCACCAAAGACGGTGCCTCCTCCGCAAAAGCTTTCAGTCTTTCAGACGAACACATCAAAATAAATTTGGTTTATTTATTTTATTAATATTTTGGACCCAAAAGTTGTAGCCCACGTGGCACTGGTGGGTGGGAGCGGCAGCCTCCATGCCTGCAACTACCGCCCTGGTCCAGCATTGAAAAGGAGGAGAGATTTTTATCGGCACAAAAGATGGTACGTTACATGTTATTATATGAATAATGAGATATGTGTGTTAAAAATTTAATAATTTAAAAAATAAAATTTTTCACTATTTACATAAAAACAAATGATGTACCACTTGTATTCTCGTCGCAATAAAAAATTTCTCAAAAAAAAGGAAGAAAAGTAAGATCTTATCCACTCACTTTCTTCCAGTAGTTACACCTCTTTATTTATTTATTGTACCCAACAAGTCTTACTCTCTCTCTCTCTCTCTCTCTCTAATGCAATCTTACGCTCTGCATCTTCCGATTCCGCATTGTTCTTCGAAGTTGGTCTTGTGAAATTCGACATATTTATCGTTAAATAAGTTTTGTTGCTGATAATTTGGCTCGTTTGAGTTCATCTACCAAGCTCCTCCGTCTTGTTGGCGGTGTTTGGTTGGTGATTTTTGTCACCAAAACGAGTCATGTGTACCAAAATCTTGACATGGGTCTTCTTCCTCCTCTCCATATTCTCCTCCGCCGTCTCCGATCCCAGAACGACCCAAGCTGACCTCTACTGCGGCAGCCGGAAACCGGGGCAGAACCCGAGCTTTATCCCAACTTTCGTCAAAGAAATGGAGAGTCTTTCTCAGCAGATATCGACCCACCGTTGGGGCACCCACTTTGTTAATTCCACGACACCCATGTACGGCCTGGCCCAATGCTTCAATGACCTCTCCCACACCGATTGCCTCCTCTGCTATGCCGCCAGCCGCACCAAAATCCCCCGCTGCCTCCCCTCCCTCTCCGCCACCATTTTTCTCGACGGGTGCTTCCTCCGTTACGATTCCTACAGATTTTACCGCCAATCCACCGACCCTTCTCGCGACACCGTGGTCTGCGGCCCGTCGAAACAGGACAAAATCGAAAAGGAGGAGTTTGGGAGGAATGTTGGGTTTGCGATCGGGAATGCGACGGCGGCGGCGGCGGGAAATGGCGGGTTTGGAGTGGCGGAGGTGAAGGGGTCGGTGTTTGCTCTGGCGCAGTGCTGGAAGACTGTGGGGAGTGCTGGGTGTCAAAGTTGCCTGGAGAAGGGAATTAAAGCGGCGATGGGGTGTGCACCCAGCAAGGAAGGGAGGGCTTTGAATGCTGGGTGTTACCTGAGATATTCGACTGAGAAATTTTATAACGATGCCGGAGGAGCAGAGCACGTTGCAGATCAAGGCCATGGTAATTATAGTTAAAGTTTTTATTTTTATTTATTTTAGTTTAAAGGGTTTTTTATTTCATGGGTTTGTGAATTAATTAAATATACTTGAGCTTTTTGATTGGAATTTTTTATTTTCATAAGTAAGGACTAAATAATTCCGCAATCCATAAGAACTTTTAACTTTTTCTGTTAAACGTAAATGCTTTTGGTACGGTTGTGTGAAAGCGTTTTTGACCTTCCTAAGCAATTTTAAAGGAAGTGTTATTTTCTCGCTTCTTTAGAAATTGAACCTCACTTTCTATTTTCTCACATTTTCTGGGAGACCAAACAGAATTTAAAAGATTAAACATTTTCAACTGACCTGTTATTTTATTATATTTTAATTTTATAATCCAATTGTCTTAAATTTCAATTTTCCATTTTTGTATTTGCAGGGCTGTCAGTAAGCAGAGGAATCATCATAGCAGTAATTCTGGCAGCAGCTGCCTTCCTGCTGCTCTCTCTCTCTGCTGCTTATGCAGGCTACGCAAAATTGGCAAGGATTAAACAAGGTACAATTTGGCGGGAGTTGAATTAACGATACAAACGATATTCTCTTCAAATTAATATTTAAGACGGGAGTTGAAAATTCAAACTCGGGTGCATAAAGGAACCGGATCTGCACTAGTCAATGCGGCTACGGCCACGTCTGCATATTTAGATTTAGATCTTAAGTTATGAGAATTACATACCAGATGTTTTAACATATGCCATTATTTATCCAGAGCGCAGCAATGCAGGCCTGGCTGCAACAAGCATCAACAAGTACTCTAGCTTGAAGTTCAAGTACGAAACGCTCGAAAAGGCCACTGATTATTTCGACTCCTCGAGAAAAATCGGGCAAGGGGGAGGCGGTTCTGTGTTCAAGGGGACGCTTCCGAATGGTGAAACAGTAGCTGTTAAAAGATTGATCTACAATACGAGGCAATGGGTCGATGAGTTCTTCAACGAGGTGAATTTGATCAGCGGAATCCAGCACAAACACCTCGTGAAGCTTTTGGGTTGCAGCATCGAAGGCCCCGAGAGCCTGCTGGTTTATGAGTACGTGCCTAACAGGAGCCTCGATCACTTCCTTTTCGGTAATTGTCATCTCTCTAGCTACATGATTTTTCTTCAATAGAACAAAGGAAGTCGAAAAATGTAGTTTGTGTAGCATTACTTGCGAGTCAAGTCAGAAAATGTGATTCGTCTAATTTATGCAGATAAGAACAAGGTGCAGATTCTGAACTGGAACGAGCGGTTTGATATTATTGTTGGAACAGCTGAAGGGCTTGCCTATCTTCACGAAGGATCCGCAGTAAGAATAATTCACAGGGACATAAAAAGCAGCAATGTTCTTCTAGATGAGAATCTCAGCCCGAAGATTGCAGACTTTGGCCTCGCTCGATGTTTTGCTTCCGAGCAGTCTCATATTAGTACCGGCATTGCTGGAACATTGTAAGTTTTTAGCACTTGATGAGAATTTGCAAATTCAGAACATTTTAGTACTCGAGTTACTGCAAGTCTTCCTGCCTTAAGGAGTAGAATGTGTTCCCAATTCTTAAAATTGTATCCAATTCTTTATCTCGTATCATGTTACAGTGGTTATATGGCGCCAGAATATCTTACTCAAGGGCAACTTACGGAGAAAGCAGATGTTTACAGCTTTGGAGTTCTAGTTCTTGAGATTGTGTCTGGCCAGAGGAACAACACCTTCAGATCGGAATCTGACCCAGATTCACTTTTACACAGGGTAAGTTTTGAACCATTTGAATTTTGAACCAAAGATCTCACCAGGTCTTCTTTCCGTCAGACAAAGATTGTTTAAAACTTTCATTTGATCTCAGGTTTGGAAACTCTACAGATCGAACGAACTAGCCAAAGTCGTTGATCCCTGCTTGGGAGAAGATTTTCCTGCAGGAGATGCTTCCAATGTCCTTCGCATCGGACTTCTTTGCACGCAGGCTTCGGTTGCTCTGAGACCATCCATGGCCGAAGTGGTCGAAATGCTAACCGATAGAGAAATTATGGCAGCAGTTCCGAGCCCAAAGCAGCCTCCTTTCCTGAACTCTACAACCCTAGAGCCAGTTAGCACTAGATTTAGATTGTACAGCGCAAACAGCTCCGTGTCAAATGCTCTAACAAAACCTGAAGCCTCCTACACCTCCACGGAGTCCTCTGGCACGCCAAGCTCGGATGGGAATTCAAGAACTCAAGAACTTTCGCAGAAGAAGTAATTTCCAAATTTCAAACCTGAGTACCCATTTTTCGTCACCAGCTTACTCCACAGCAACTTGTTCAGCTGATCTCTCTTGATCTGAATCGTGGAAGTCGCGTCAAATTGATAGACTAATCACGTGATGAGCGATGTAGAGAGACGAGATTGCCCGGTGACTTATAAGATTCTCCGGCAAGCCTGTTACGGCTAACTTTGGCAATGCAGATTGCGGCATGGTGTATTAGGCTGTGCATTCCTTCTTTAATTTCTAGCATTTTTCTGCCATGTAAGTTTGACAACGCCGATTGAAATCGCAGATATTCCGAATTTCGGATGCTACATTTTTGTTGTGACGAATGGACGATCCTCTCTGATGGGGGCGGACGTCAACATTTGTCTCACATCGAAAAGTAAACAAACACATATAACCCGATTAACCAAAAATATTACTCCTTAATTAGTTAGTAAATTAATACAGCGTCAGCCTACTTAGGCAAGGCTAGAACAGTTAAAAACAAAATAGAGCTTAACAATTAAAACAGTCTCTCCTATCGATCTGAGCGTAATTAGTAATTAACATGGTAATTAACAAACAAATAGATTAGAGCTTAATTAGTCACCAACATCTGCAACAACGGTGCTGATTTCACCTCGATCAAGCAAGTAGATCATAAAACTCTGGTCCTCCGCTGGTTATTCCCGTGGATCTTTTACCAAAGACATCCAACGGCCAGCCCAAGTCCTACCCCACATACTTTCTCCTTCACTGTACTTGGTAATGTCCGTCTAAATTCTGAATCGAGCTGTGTTGGCCGACACCAGGAATGTGACGAAGCCACAAAATGTGGTGATGTGTAAAATGTGAATAAATTTAAACCTGAAAATGACTAAATACAAAAGTGCGCATGTGAACGGAATTGAACTCATTTCACACGTGATGTTAGAATATACGTAAAGTATAGTAAAAGTAGAATAAGACTTATACCATTGGAAATAATCTCCTATATCACTTTTTGTTAGAAATCTTCATCAACACAAGAACTCTGTCACTAATTCTTGTAAGAGCGAAAAATAAGGGTAAGTGAACTTAAAACTAAAGTTTTAATAAAATTTTTTGAAAAACGCACAATCTCTCGCCGTAAAATAAGTATAGTTTATAAAGGATCTGGCGAGGATCCTTTTCTTGGGATCCAGGTCATTTATCGAATATCGTACGGTCAGAAATCATTTGAAATTTAAAATTTAAAATTAAATATAAATAGTACCTAACGAAAATTAATTGTACGATATACGATGAACGGTTTATATCACAGAATCTTCTTAATTCCTGTAAAAAGGATCCGACAATGATCTTTTTCCGTTTCCAAATATATACATAGACACCTTAATTTATTGGACGTAGACAGATAGATGAACAATGGGGAGGGAGAATGAAATTAAAGAGGACAAAGAAAGTACCTAGATTTGGCCAAGAGAGCATTGGAGGTGCAGGGTAATGCAATCAACGGTCCCGATATGATGAGTCTTAGTCTGATGCATTCAGCAGGGGATCCTAACCTTTATGGACTCCTACGTCAAGCACGTGATTCGGGTTTCAGAATTGCGCCACGTCGTTGCCATGTGTGGAACCACGTCGTCAGCCGTGACATAGCAAGTCCACGTCGTCATTTTTATAATATTAAACTTAACAACTCAAATTAACGCTCTTGATTGCTTGAGCTTTGTCGTTAGTTGGTGACATAACAAGTTGACACGTCGTCATTTCATACTTTTTATGTGGACTTATGGAGAATCATTACGGGGTTGTTTGGCGATGAAGATGAATTCTATTCACGTATGGCATACGTCACATTTTGTATTCAGTTTTTAACATTGATAAATGATAATAGTCACGAAAAATTGAAATATTTCTGTAAATTTTCTTAATCCATAAAAATAAACTGAATTTGTATAAAAAATATTGATTGACGGATAATCGAACTTGACACTTTGAGCTCAGTCGTCAATTCGTGACAATTTCTTTTGTATTTCTATGTTGACTTGTTGAGAAGGATAATCGAACCTTATACCTCAATGAGTGAGATGTAGGCCTGGTAAACTGGTATTGTCGTGTTTGTATTATTTTCATGTCATGCATATTATTTTAACGAATCGTGTTAAACCTATTATCTTAATGATACTTAACAAAAGAAGTAGCCCTGATAACAACCAGATTCGTTAAAGGATCTTATCTTTTTCGTGTATGCTTAACGGGTGCAAGAAATTATCATGTCAAATGTCTAGTTCTCGCAAATAATATCTTATTAGGTTCTTAACAAGTAACCTGATAACGATTCAATTTCAACTCGTTGATGGGTTCTCACCGATAATGCGATAAAGACACAACTCGATAAGAGGTTTATCCCAAATCTGTTATTTTGTATCATTTTAAGACGAATTCACGAGTCATTCAGAAAATTACCAGGCTAGTGAGTAGCCAAATCAACACAACAATCAAATAAGTGAAATGAAACCTTGTGAAAACTACAGGGACGAAAAACCTTGTGTCCTACATTGAATTAATAGCAAACTGATAACTTGCATTTTAAAAAAATTAAGAAAAAAAATGACAATTCCAAAACTAAAGATTAATACATTAGCTAATTAATCAAGGGACTAATCAAGATTAACAAACCACAATCACAAATTCACAATGGCATGGCCTAATGCTAATGGTGTTCTTCCTTGGGAACAGAGAACCTGCAAAGCGGGCAGGACGCTCGCCGGCACAGCCACGCTTCGATACAAGGCGAGTGAAACCTGTGCTTACAAGGCATTTCTCTGGCTTCACCGCCGATCTCCAAGTCCCCCATGCAGATGGCGCAGTCGGCGCCGACCTCCGTGACCGTCACTCTCGGCATGGCGTCTATGGACGCCTTGGATGCCGCCACCGCAGCAGACGACGGCTGACGAAAACGATTGCCAATGTTATGGTTGAAATAATTGAAATTGGCATGGATGAGATTGTCGTCTCTTGCTTCTAAATAGCGCCTTATGTGCCGTCGTGCTACCTCCATCTGCAAACGACGGAGATGAAGTGGGATCTCGAGGAGATCATCAAGGTGGTGGGAAGAGCTTGATCGGGGCATGCCTACCATTGGATCGAACGGTGCTTCCTCGTCACCGTCGCTCATCGTCTCTGAGACTGACTCCGAATCCCGATGCTTTTAGTAAAACTGCTTTTGCTTAAGTTGCTGGCTGTGCTGGTGGTCGTTGCTTAATGCTTAAGGGAAAAATAAGACATATGTTTGGCTACTCAACGCGAACTTCTATTCAAATCTCTTAGCATTTGAATCACAGAATTTTGTGTTTATAATCACAATCGTTCATTTATTTTTATACAATTCAAATGATTAAACGATCTTAGTTTTAATTGATTGTCTTTGTACAATGATATATAATATGGAATGTTCATATCATTAATACGAATTGACAACGAATAGTTTTGAGTTATAACTCCTATTTTTTCTTTGAGTAGGCATTTTTGCTCACCATTCTCAAATAGTGGTAATGCTGACGACCGTACCAATCACTATTAAATGAATTTGAATTTTGAAATTTATGTTTATCCACTACACGAATTTTGAAATTCAACTCATCTAATGACGATAAATAAGATGATGAGCATACATCATAATTTATGATGATACTCTCCTTAAAAAATAAAGAGCAATAAGTTCGTGGTGATTTCCACAACAGGGCCTTGTGTTCTAATGCATGCATCCCAAATGGATGTCCACACTCCACACCATTGGGATTAATTTGCGCATTTTTTTTTTTTTTCTCTTTCGGAATTTTGTTTTCCTTCTTAAAAGAAGGAAAAATATTTCCATAAAAAACGAAGAAGATAAAAAATACCCAGAAAATAGTAATAACAACCTACAGTTACAGACTTGAACGTATCTAAATTGGATGGCATATTTCGTGCATTTAAGTCTTTTTTGGTACGCCACACTGACTTTTTTGTCAGATACTACTAATTGTAGGACTTGGATCGTAGCCGGATCCCCTCTCTTGGGATCTTATAAATCAACGAACACGGATTGTTGATAAAAAATCATGCAGTCTCAATTAAATGCATTTTATATTTTAAAAAGTAAAGCACTATCGTTTTGCTTGAAAATAATAAAAAAGGAAAAAATTGTGGCCACATGATTTTTTATCAAAGGTCTGTGTTCGTTGATCCCTAGGATTCTCAGGGAGGGGATCCGGCGAGGATCCAAATCCCTAATTATATTGTCAAGTGGTCGGTGCTTGGTAGATTAATATGCATTTTATTGTTTATTGTGTATTATAATGTCCGAAATAAAAAATTTCAAATTGTATACACTAAAATATGTTATTTGCGCCACATTTACTAATCAATTATAAGTACGGTAGTGTTACACATACTATCTTTTGTATAGAAAATGATTTTCCCACCGCATTTTCTCTGCATGCACTTCTTTTATTTTATCTAACTTTAGAGAGAAACTAAAGGATAAAAACACTAGAAACTACGAATGTGAAAGTCACTTCTCATGCCAAAACATGTGACACAACTTCCATTTAGAGAATCTTGGCAAGGCAAAAGCTGCTACAACTCTTAAATTGTAGTTTGCAATCATCAGGCTCTAAATGCTATCAGAAATCAAGGCTGCGACTCGATGCTCGCGTTTTCATGTACCGGAAGAAGAAAAATGCTAAGGAGACTCTCTCAAAAGTAGAAATCGGCATGTACTCTCTGTCACCTCTTATTTTTTAAACAATTTTTTATAATGTTGACACGAGAATTAACGTCAAACTGTGAGATGATAAAGAGTAGATGAAGAGTTCCACCTTAAGAGAGCATCCTTAGCATTTCTCATCGGACGAAACATCATAGGAACGAAAATATACTCTCTCAAATCCAAGAAATGTGTCTACTCCCCTGGTTCCCGAATATGAGACGAGTGAAGTGTCTATCGGAACGGTATTTGACTTTGTTCCTACTAGCATGCCAGTAGTATCGACACTCAACTCAGGAGGATGTTCTTCTTTCTTGGTTGAATAACCAGAATCCGCCACCTTCGATTTATTGGTCACCGGAAAACTCTTAGCTTTTGTTCGAATGTGTAGAATTGTATTCTCTTGATTTCATTGATATCACAATAGTACAAATATATGCTAGTCAAGCGACTTATAGTACAAGTAAACTTAGGTCCACAAGGATTTACAAAACCTAGCCCAACAAAATCGTAACCGGATTCTCCTACTAACAACCCCCCTCAAACTTGGCCGTCTTAGAGTGACAAATTTGGACCTCAGAAGTTCGAAGCACGGCTTCAGAAGCTCTTTGGTGAGAACATGCGCAGGCTGGTCAACAGAAGGGATAAAACTGTACCTTGTGCTCAAATATTGTTCCTTCTCTTGAAGTTTTGAAAGTTCCATCTTCAGGTTCAAGAGGAAGACCAGCTTCTACATCCACTTTACATATATAAGGACTAAAGAGTGATAAGTATGTGTTTGAGTGTGTATTCGGGTAACGATCCTACCTCTGTCATCCATCAGGTTCGCGGTAGCTGATGAGCTTCTGGGAGTAGGGAGATTGTTCATGTTATGTTGCTTTTGTTCTGCCTCTTTGGGTTCTGAAGATGGATTCACCGCAGTCCGTCTTGGAATTTTTATTGCATTCCAACTCTTCCAGAACCTTGAATTCGCTATGGGGTTCGAGCTGCTTCTCACGAGCACGTTTTCTTGTCAAAACCAAGCGCTCTGAGGATGCAGAATGCACACCATTTGATGCCACCAAGACAAGGAAGTTCCCAAGTTCTTTGCCTTTTCACGTACGTGATCAAATACTGTTTGATGTGTGATGGTTTTGCTTTCATCCTCTTCAGCTTTGGCACCAACCTCATCTTCTCGAATGTTGGCAGCAACCTCGTCTTCAAATATTTGACGTTTGGTATTATCAATTAACCTCTACCTTCTTCAAACTCTTCATCAAGGAGAGATGATTTTCATACAGTGTTTTAACCTGTCACGTGCCTCTCTTTATTTTTTTCCATCAAACTAATAAATCAAACTGAAACGAAATTAAACGATGGTGGGTGAGAAGTTAAACAATGCAAACAAGAAATTGCATTATTGCTAGCCCATTATAAGGTTAAACTCATTTCCTCTTTTTTAATGTAGATAATATCGATTGTTCATAAAAAAAAATGTGTATAAAAATCTCCATCGTCAATCAAACCAACTTGTTCATACTAGAGTTGTATGTCTCCTTGTCAGCCCAGGAAAAACGAGTCGTTGGCTCAGTTCGCTGCACGTGGGTGGGGCCGGGATGTTGCTGCGCGACGTCATTGACGTCGTCAACCACTGTCGTCAGGCTCAAGGCCCAACAGCTTATGACTAGGCAACCCAATGGGCTTCTACACTACATTGTTGAGGCCTCGAGGGCAATTTAATCCAATTGCCCTGCTAATTGGGCTCCCACTGGACTTACTCTAATATGATGGTTAGAAAATAAGTGATATTTTATATTGCTACATGAAAATTATTCTGGCAAAAGAAAATGAACAAAAATTTAGATGTCAGGTGAGTTTTATAAAGGCTGTGCATTTAGGCCCAGAGGATTCTCTTTATGAGGATTCTGGGAATCATCTAATCACATTTGTTCATCGTACATCGTACTGTCAAAAATTATTGTAAATTTTTTATTTAAAGATGAATATAAAATAATACTTGACAAAAACTGACCGCACGATTTACGATAAATGGATGTGATTGGATGATCCCTAGAATCCTCACAAAGAGGATCCGGTTAGGATCTCTCTCCATTTAGGCAATAGGCATACAAAAGTTCAAGAAGAGATTCTTTTCGGATCTCTTCCACTAAGACCATCTCTAACCGAGGGCTGGCCAGATGGCTCGTTTTAGCTCTCTGGCCCTTCAAGAAATTAATATTTTAATGAATAGTACAAGGCCATATTTGCCTCCGTCTCCAACCGAGAGCCTAAGGGCCATAGGGCTCATTTTAGCCATGTCACAAAAAATCGTCTCCAACCGAGGGCCAAATAGTCATAGGGCTAAACATAATTTATTATTTAAATTTAAAAACCGCAACAACTTAAATTCAAATCCAACAACTTAAATTTAAAAATTACAACGATAATTGGCCCAAAAAACCAAAAAAATTAGAACTTAAATTTAATGAATGGTTTAGGTATTTGAGCACCTTGGTGAATTTGGACGAATTTGTGCAACAAATTGAATCAAAACACTTATAAACACAAACTAAGACACTTTATAACTAATTTGGACAATAAAGTAAAGGGGGATTGGTTTTGGATGAATTTGAAATTAAAATAGAAACTTGGAAACAAAACAGATTGTAAAACGAATTTGATGGAATAGAATGGATGGGATGGCTAGCTAAGGGGTTCATCTCCACACATGTTACACTTGCATATAAAACGATTTCCAATTGCTTTTCAATAAACCATGATGCTCAACACCCCAAGTTAACCGTGATGCACTAATTAACTCTCAAATTTTCCTTATGTTATTGAATTGGATGATGCATGCGACAATTCAAATCATTCTCCAATGGTTCTCAACATGAATGCATAGAAGAGATACAATGAGAGATCATTATGCTCTATGAAAATTATAAGTGTTGATGAGACAATTGTAACTATGAATGCATGATACTCTTGCCAAGAATTCATTTAATGCGATTGTTTATAAGCAACCTCTACTACTTGTGAATATAAGTTCATAACTATTAGGTGAAACTCACTTATATTCTAGCGTCATATTCATGCATGAAAATTAAGCGTGCACTCTCAATAAACATACATCAATAAGTTATCAATCAAACAGTTAAACAAATTGAATTCACAACTTATGAAACGTAATTAGAAGTAATCAAATCATATTGCAAGCATAAACATATATTTCGAATCCCCCTAGCCAAGGGGGGGTTTAGTTCCTCATACGTACAAAACAAAGAGAATTGAATTCAAACATTGAAATCAAGGAAAATAAACACCTAAACATTCCAACAACTCAAACTTGAATTGTATGAACGTTTAGGCCCTCTTCTCTTCCTCTTTGTTGCTGCACAAGGTCTAAGGAATGGTTGTGTGATGGTGTGAATGGTTTGGGGAGTGGTGGAAATGGAAGGATGGTGTTTGGATTGTAAGGGAGACACGACAATGAATTTCTGGTGTGTGAATTGTGTATGAATGGGAATGCCTTTTGTGGCTGCAATGGATGCTTATTTATAGGTGAATGAAGGAAGAAAAGAGGGAATATGACAGCTAGGTTGAATGATTAAAGGGGTGTTGCTAGGTTGGAAATGCATGTGGAATTGCAAGGAGGAAAGCTGGAAATATGGATGGGAGTGCACGGCATGGGCTTGTTGTTGGTGAAAATGTGGCTAAATGGTTGAATTAATTAATGGGAGTGCATGTGGCTTAAATGATTAAAGGGGGTGGAAGATGGCTGAATGATTTCTTGGTGAATGGTTGAAATATGGATGGAATGCATGGAATTAGGCACAGCACAAAAGGATTTGATTGCTGGAATGAAGTGTGTATACACGGGTTGGCTTTCTCCCTTTGGTGTTGAATGATTATGGGTGCATGTGGGTGAACATGTGGCTTAATGATTAAGTGGACAACCTGGAAAGTTGCAGCAAGGTGTGTGGAGGTGCTGGAATTGTGGAATGCACGACAATGATGGTGTGTTAGGTGATGGGTGCATGTGTTGGCTGAATTATAGTGCAATGATGAAGGAATAAGTGCATGTGGCTGAATTGGTGGTGCAAAGTGAATGAATAATGAAATGGGAAATGCATGTGGGTGAAATAATGAAGGAAATGCATGTGAAATGGCTGGAATGAACATGAAATGCACGGCTAGGTTGGTTGAATGATTATGGGTGCATGTGGGTGAATGTGTGGCTGCATGGTTGTGTTGGTGATGAATGTGAACTCTTTGTTCTTCATTTTCATTTCTTCATCCCTTTATTTATTCCTAGCCTCCTTTGGTCTTCAATTTCGTTTATCTACTTGGCTTTAAGCATATGCAATCCATTTAATGCCCCAAACTACTCCAAAATGCACCAAAATGCACTTTCTTGCTCCTTTAGCCCTTTGGACCTACAAACACACGAAAATAGCTTAAAGTACTAAAATAACTAAAGAAACACAACGTAAATGCACGAAAACAAGCAAACTAAGGCGCATAAATATGCTCCTATCAACATACATTCATATGAAGTCAAATTATACTATTGGATTGTGTATGATTTTGCCCGCAATTCATTTCACACTCTTTTTAATTTCTCACATACGCATATTTAATTCGAGCTATAAAATTAAATAAATTAAACAAAAAATAACAAAATTAAATAAAAATGTGTGAAAAAAAACTAAAATAGATGTGCTTTTATCATTTTCCAATGCATTTTTGCTCATCACCCTCATCAAGTGCTGATAATGCTCATCATTCTTAGGTGGTGGAGACATTTTTTAGTAAACATAAAAAACAGCTACACCAAGTGTCATGATACAAGTGGTTGAAAGTTTTTCTTTTCCAAATATCCAACCACTCGTATTATGATACTTAGTGTATCGGTCCATATTTCCATCATGCTGAAATTTTTTTCCAAGTGGTGATAATGTTCACCACTATACTTACCATTAGATGAGTTAGTAATTTAAGGGTGTGTTTGTTGCACCGGATTAAATTGGACTGGACTAGTTTCAGGGACTAAGCTGGACTGGCTTAGACTAGACTAAATTGGATTGATTTAATGAAGCATTTGATGTAGTGTTGGACTATAAATAAATAAGTACTTTATAATTTTTATTAAATTAAATTTCTTTTCTATCAAAATTCATTTCTTCCTACAATCCTTCTCCCAGCAAACTCTGGTCTTCCCCTTCTCAATTTCTTCAGCAAGCTCCTCCACTTGCCTTTTTTATCTCCACAATCTCACCATCTCTCTCACTTATTTTATAGTTATCTTAACTTTTAAAAACTAATTAATTTTCTCCTTCAATCTTATTAGCAACCAAATTACATGAAAAATGAACAGATCTCCCCAACCTGTAACCAAATAATCAAATTGCATAAAATTGAATAGATCTCCCCAACCTTCATCGTCAACTTCTTGTTAGCAACGCTCACCGATGGTAGCATTGCCAGGTCCTCCATCAACTCGCGATTTTGGCCTACAACAGCGCCGCTTTAGCTCTCCCAGGCTTGGGCCGCGGAAAAGAAAGCACCGCCGACGAGCTGGCCATAATGACGATGCAATAGAAGAAGAAGGTAGAGTGGATGTCAGGGTGTAGCAAGCATTGGCCTCATATTCCATTTTAGTCCCGCTTAATACCAAGCGAAAGCTCCGAACTAAATAACGTGCTTTAACAAAGCGCGTATGGACTGTTAGTCGAAGCGAGTCTCATTTATTCTAGTCCAGAAACATACCAAACGTAGGATTATAATCCTACTTAAATCAATCCAAGCCAATCCCTTCTAAAAAGATGTAACAAACGCATCCTAAAATTTATAATTTATATTCTACTAAGATTTCAAAATTTAAATCTATTCAACAGTAAATACTCCCAACTGGCATTCTATATTTGGGTTTATGGAGAATTGCAGACTAGACTGTCATTTCACAATTGAATTTTGTTTTTGCTTATTTTGTCATTTCGACAGCATAAAGTCTGGGCCGTGTGAATTAAATGCGACAAAAATAAAGTAATACGCGTTGGCTGGTTGTGGTCATCCCATTTTTGGCAGTACCTGCCATTTTTTTATTTGATTTCCATTTTTCTTTTACTTTTTTTGGCTTAATTTTAACTTGGACTACATATGCGGCAATTGAATCTCATCCGGATCAACTTTACGAAGATTTTAGGGATTTAGGATTTCCATATCTTAATCATTTATCATGTATTGTATGATCAGAAATTATTTAATTTTTTATTTAAAATTAAATATAAGTAGTAATCGACGAAAATTAACCTCATAATATATGATAAATAACTAAAATGTAGTAATGTTTATAATCCCCGTAAATCCAAAGATGATCCTCTTCCCAGATATGGCCAGTGAAAAATGCAAAAATAGTAGCCTCTGTTAAGTGCCATCAGATTCTCAGAAATATGTCAACTTCCTTTTCGCAAATTGCTTTATTTACTTTCCCCTTCTAGCTTTCTTTTATCTTTTTCTCCCTGCCGGCCAAAAATTTACAGGCATCAAGAAAGAAAGTAGAAAAAAATATGAACAAAGCTTGACCGCTCACAATTAACAGCATCTCCTGCTAAAGAACTAATGTGACTCTTCCTTAGTTTGACGCTTTGCCAATCGTTTGGTTTGCGGGAAAAGAAGATTTCGAAATGAGAAATTTTGTAAAAATGTGGTTTTTCGTTAAAATGAACAGTACTATGAACTTTTCGTTAAAGTTCTCTAAAACTTTTCATTTTCCATCTCCTAGGAGAAGACATATGAGAATTATTTCCCATAAATTTAATTTCTAGCCTAAAGGCAAATTTAGGATGTGATCAATTATACTTCTGTTGTTATTGTAATATAATATGTGGATTACCTATTTGAATGGTTTGTTACTATTCATCCAAAGAAAAAGCAAACTATTCATATGATGAAAGACGGATGAGTTACTATTCATGCACAGTATTTTTACTATTCATTTGAAGAAAATTTGTAAAGTAAATAGTGTTGCTACAGTAATCTTTTGCTTATAAAAATGAATAAGAAGAAGTAGAGCTGACACACACAGCTCTCCGCAGAGAAGAGAAACAGAAGGAAGAGAGAAAAGAGAGGAAGAATAGATAAAAAATAGAGAATTATTTTTGTACTTCTATTATTTCAGATTATAAATGAACACACCACTAATGTTCTGCATACTCCGTTCATTAACTATAGAGAAATCTCGTAAAAACTCAAAGAGAAGGTACCCAAAAATAAACGAAAAAGCATGAGTGTCAAGCCTTTGCCTTTCTTCCTGTAATGGCAAATACGAAATAACAAAATAGAAAGGGGTCATGTTTATCTTGAAAAGAAAAATAAAACTTGTTTAATTACCCTATAAAAAATAAAACTTGTTTAATTAATGTATAACTTCCATCACAAGGAAAGCAAAAGGCGTCAACTTTGGAATGTGCCTCTGCTTTTTCGGTACACAATACACACTTTTTCATCTCCCACTAAACCTTCATGCTTGTCAACCGGAGTTTTTCATTTGGTCTCTCTCTCTCTCTCTCTCTTCCTCTCACTACAGTCTTCCACTCAACCCCTCATTCCATTTGCGAACTTCCTGGTGAGCTATTGGGGGCCTTCGTTTCCTGGGTTTTAGCTGCTCAGACTTATGGGCTTTCTTTCAAATCTTGTTTTCTTCCTTCTTTCCGGGTTGGGTTTCTTCCTTCTTCATCTTTGAGCTTTTTCTGATGTGGGTTTTCAGTTTTGAGCTTTCTTCGATGTGGGTTTTTTGTTTGTGCTATTTTTCTACATTTGTTTTTTGTTTTTTAAGCGCTAAGCTATTATTTATCATGCGTTTTTAGCAACTCCCGTTTCATCTTCTTATTCATGCGTGCTTATTTTGTGTATCTTGAGCTGGGTTTTGATTATCTTTGGTTCTGCCTCATAGTCACTGCTGTCTCTCTGTGTATCCGTTTCATGGCCTTAGATTTTAGCAATGCAGCTCACAAAATTTATCTTGCTTGATTCTCTGGATTTTGGTTTTTTTTTTTTTGCTGGATGCTCTCTTTTCTGCATATATTACTCTCTTGCTGCGGTCATTGTTTGGCAATCTTCAATTTCATTGAGCATCACGTTGAAAGTAGTACTCCTCTCTTTAGTTGCATTAGAATTGTTGCAGCTGCTCATCCTCTCTTGGCACCGCCGTCGCTTCTTCTTTGCACTTTTTGTGCGCTTTTGGTTTGTTTGTAGGATATATGCATACATCTCTCACACATGTTTAATCAATATGATCCTAGTGAGAATTATTTGGGTTGAGTCATTTTGTGCTAGTTTTCTTCTCTATTGGGTCCTGGATTTCACTCTATTTGTTTTGGTTTGCAGATCAGAATGAGCACTTCAGAAATCATAGATTTATGCAGTGATGATGAATTGGGCGAGTCGGGTATGGAAAACTGCAGAAGGGAGGCTGAGCCTGGCTTTGAGTCTGCACCCTCAGACTCGGTATGTCCAACACCGATTTGTAAGCAATTTTGGAAAGCGGGAGACTACGAAGTAGGGAAGGGAAAGGGGAACCAAGCTGCAAATCAGTGTAAAATATTTGACTGCTTTTATTGTATCTATTCATTTTGTTTTCTCATCATTACTTTGTTTTGAACTTCTTGTATCACACCGCCTTCTTCAATTGTGTCCCTTGCTTCAATGGCATTCCGCCAGGGCAATCATCTCTTCACAATATACCGATTACTAGTATCCTTGAGGTATTTGCATTTAACCATGCTTGGGCATTTAAAGCTGTTAACTGGACTTTGAAGAGATTAAAAGTTGTAAAATTCATTGATGTATTGAATCCCAGTTTTGACTCCTCTTGAATGGTTGACATGGAGCTGTCGAATTTTTTACTAGGAAGAGTAATTATCTGGGCTGAAAAATTGAGAACTAAAACATTTGCTGTTTGTGAAATGGGCAAGAAATGATTACAAAAGAAAAATTGAAGAACCCATATATGAAAAATATAGTTGTTTGCATGCTCCCAACAATGTTCTACTTTTGTTGCAAAAAAAAAAAAAAAAAAAAAAAATTCTAAAATCTTCAGACCATTTTATTTACAAGTTTTGGTTTGCAGATGGAATAAACCGTATGCACATACATCCTAAGTTCCTTCACTCAAATGCCACTTCACATAAGTGGGCTTTTGGAGGTATTTTCAGTTTATATGTGTAGTTGGCTTCCCTTTTCTTGTTTCTCCATGTACCCCCTTCTTTGTGCTCTTTCTGATCACTTGTTTGCAGCCATGGCAGAGTTGCTCGACAATGCAGTTGATGAGGTAATTGCCCAAATCCCCTTTACCATTATTATTCTGATTTCTCTGTTTTTGCCTTTGCAATGTTCATCAGTTCCTTTCCATCTCATGATTCTCTTCTATATTCTGGTTGTGGGAAATAGACAGAGTAAATTGATTAGGGAATCACCCTTGCGTTCGTTATTTTCTTTACACAATGTATTGATTGCTAGTATTCTTGCATTTGAGTTTCAGTAGAAAGTTGAAATGATTTGTCTTGTTCACCTGTATTGTACTTCGATGAAAATTTGCTCTATTGCCTAAAAATATATATATATATATATATATATGTATATATTAATAACAAAAGATTCTTTGAGTGTGCTTATTTATGGTTCCTTTGATTTCTGTTTAACCGGGGAATACAATTATTTAGTAACAACCTTTGTTTGTGTGGATTAGATACATAATGGAGCTACTTTTGTTAGCATAGACAAGATGTCGATCCCACGGCATGGGAATACAGCTTTGGTAATTCAAGGTAGGCCTATGAATCCTTTTTACCTTTTTTCCATTAATATATGGACCAGAACAACATCTCATATGCAATATTGGATTATGATACTTAATGGCCAACAAAAAGATGATGGTGGCGGAATGGACCCTGAAGCTTTAAGGCGCTGCATAAGTTTTGGATTTTCAGATAAGAAATCAGAGTTCACCATTGGACAATGTATGTCTTGTACTTCGTTTTGTTCACTGAATCTTTTGCATGATGTATTGTCTCCTTTGTATTAATTGGGAACCCTTTCGCCTTTCAGATGGAAATGGCTTCAAGACCAGCTCTATGAGACTTGGAGCAGATGTTATTGTCTTCAGTCGCCACATGGAGTCAAGGTCTGGCCCAAGAACATATGTTTTCGCTTACTCTGTAGGACATTTTCGTTGTTATTAAATAACCATTGCTGGTATAAGTGAGAAAGAGAGAGAGACCGGTTTACAATTCAATAAGTAAGGTTCTGTTTTGATTGGTTTATGACCTTCGCAGGAAACTGACTCAAAGTGTTGGACTCCTTTCTTATACATTTTTGACTCGAATGGGCTACAACAAGATAGTTGTTCCAGTGGTGAGTTTGATTTCATAGCATCCCCTTATATGTTGACAAAATCTTCTGCAAGTTCACCCAAACTAAGATTGGTGATATTCATGCCAAACTGTGGAGTCTACAATGGGAGAAATATTTATATTTTTTTTGTTGGTTCATCCAAATGGAAGGCATTGATCAACTTTGATAGCATTTTCAGTTTCTCTAACAGACCATTATTGGAATCCCAATAACTATTTAACTCAGAACTCAGTGTGGTTCTTCCACTACTGCAGGTGGATTATGAGTTTGATTCATCAGCTGGAACATTTGGCCCCATAATTCTGCATGATGACGACCATTTTTATTCTAATCTGACCATGCTGTTGCAGTGGTCTCCTTATTCAACAGAAGAGGAGCTGCGGAAGCAAGTAAGCCTGTGAAAATAATTTGTCATTAATCTTAGCATTAGACAAAAATCTCATGACAAATACTGCTGCATTCCTATGTGTTGATTCCCTTAAAGTAGAGTGTTCTTTATTACAGAGGTTATTTAGACCCTACATCCTTGCATGTGTATACATGGATTCATGCAGACATGATATGCACTTAAGTCTATATATACGTGTGTGATTTATTAACCCAATTGTCAGTTTGATGATATAGGGGATCATGGAACAAAAATTGTCATTTACAATCTTTGGCTAAATGATGATGGGGATATGGAACTAGATTTTAATTCTGATCCTGAGGTTATGTTCATCCCTTTTCGTCATTTCATTTACTTTGAATCAAATTGGACGCATTGCTACTGTAGTCTTGTTCTTGTTCTTGCAGGATATTTGTATTAATGGCGACAAAGAACTTGGCAATTTGAAACGTCATGTTCAGCATGTTGCTCACCTGTATCGGCACTCTCTCCGTGTAAGTATGGTGTTCACATTTTTAAGTTGACCACACAAAGTTTGTCTTATTAATGATGGCCTGGTTTCATGCTCCACAGGCATATGCATCAGTCCTGTATAGGCAGCTACCACAGTACTTTCAGATAATTTTGCGTGGACAAGATGTTGAGCGCCGTAATGTTGCCTTTTATCTCAATTTTGTTGAGTTCATCAAGTATAGGCCGAAAACTGAAGGAACTATCAAGTATAGGCCGACAACTGATGGAAATCTGGAGGTTTGTGCTGTCTACAATACCTCCACACCTCCATGCTAATTTTTAGCTGCTACTAATTGCACCCTGTAATTTACCAGACGCATCTGAACTTATGCATCACGTCAGTTTCATTTTTCCGTTAGTTAAAGTGGTTGACTTGATACTTACCAATAGAGCAAGTTATACAGATTACATCTTTTCTTCTTACTACTAGAGACAACATGACCATACATAATTCTGTAACATCATGAGGAAGTTGGTTCACTTTTCTTCTTAATAAAACATGTCTGAAGAGTAGTTGTGGACTCGTGTCTTCTAGTCTATATGCGTAATGTGTATCCAACAGCTTCATGGTTCACAATTTTCTTAGGGTTTTAACCATTATACTGGTAGCTTATGGTTTGAGAGTTATAACTCAAAAAGTGGATCTGTATTAATAAAAATCTTTTGTGATCAGCAACTCTGTCTCAATCCTTTTCATCCCCACATGCGCTTGTGAGCATGCATTTTTTTGGTATCCAGTGGCTTTACCATGGGTAATTTCTTAAATTTTCAGCTTGAATATATTACCGCAATAGGATTTTGGAAGGAAGCTGCACGTGCTAATATTCATGGTTTCAATATCTACCATCGGAATCGCCTGATACTGGTACTTTTGCTCTCTTAAATTGTTCGTTACGCATGTTTTGGTAATAAGACTCACCAACCTATCTCTGATATTTTACATAGTGCAAAGAGTGTTGCTGATTTATAGTCAGTGAACTGCACTAACTATTTCTGCTACATGTGCTTTGTAACCTCCTTAGAACCCTCAATGTTCCATGTAAGGCTCTACTAGCCTTCAGTATGTAGTATAGAGTTCTAAATTATGTTTATGAAATGCCATGGGATGGATTGCTGTTTGCAGATTTTCGGGAAGGAATGATACTATAATTCGATATGGCATTTGTATAAATTTGAGTATTGCACTACAGGATTTATAACGACGGGGGATGTGTGCATGTAATCTTGTTCCTCATTCATTAATATTTTGCAGCCATTTTGGCGTGTACTTAAACAAATGACAGGCAATACCGGGAGAGGAGTTGTCGGTGAGAACTCCTGACTGCACTTATCTCGTTCTCAAGATTTTGTTTAAAGGTGTATTTAGTTCAAATCGTTGTATGTGTTTGTTGATTTATGTGATAATATTGTAGGTGTCCTGGAACCAAATTTTATTCAGCCTACTCACAATAAGCAAGATTTTGAAAAAACTTCCCTCTTCCACAAGCTTGAAGATCGTTTAAAGCAAATGACGGTGGAGTACTGGTGTGACATTAATCGGATTTTTCTTAGTTCTGTAAATATTGTCAGGCTCAAGTTTGTATTACTTCAACTTTAGAGGAAAATTTTGGTTCATAGAGCAGTTTATGAGCCTATAATTTAACTTTGCGAACTGTCATGTATGAACTCCGGTGTCTATACAATGACAAAGAATTGTAATTTCCTGTTTGATGCATTTTCTGTTTACCTTGGCAGGAAGAAATATTCCAAAGTCGCCGGTTATCAGACTGTGAAAAAAGTTCGTTCTAAGAGACTGCGTCGTCCAAAATCACCTTCTTCAAGAACTAGAAATTCTTTGCACCTAGCTTTGTTACTGAATCACGGTTCTCATGAAGCATCTTCTGGTGCAGCGGGATCCTTAGAAGATCCCCAAGTAGCCGTATCAGATGCTTCATCCAGTGGACTGCAAATAACAGCAGATATCTCCTCAGAAGGTGAAACTATGCAGTCAATAATTTTTGAACGATCGGAAATTGCATTAATTTCATATTTTGCTTGTCTACTAAATCCGTTTCCTGTGTTAGCAGGAAACGTCAAAAAGAGGAAGGATCTTGATACGCCATTGGAACCACAACTTGCGAAAAGGCACACAGGACATGATGGAACTGATGTCCAGTACATTACTCAACAGGTTTGCTGAACCAAAAACTCAGAATCAAACTTATTACTCTAACTAGCATATACTTAGTACCGGTCCTCGATGTATTTTGTTGGCAGTCTGAGAATAGCATCGAGAACACGAAGCAAATTTCACAGAAGATAATTTTGATTCGAGAAAACAGAAGGCTTCGGTCAGAGTAAGTAAAAAGCAAATACGGTAGTTCATCATATACGTAAACATTTCTAAGGATGGATTTAGGTGAGCTACTGGTGACTTTGGTTGCTGCATTTGTAACTTTAATCTGTAAACCACTTATGTTATTCCGACCTGGCTTCGCGGAAGACCAATTGTCATGTCGAAGAACAATTCTGATATGTGTACATTATAATTTGCGATTTCTCAGTTCTTTTGTCACTTGCAGGATGCTCGCGGCGGAAAAACGGATTGAAGAACTTAACTTGAAGGTAGTTCAAGTTATGTTGCATTTAGTAATTTGGTATTTCATGTAGTTATAAGTCTCTTAATTGACATGACATTGCAATTTGTGCAGATGCAACAACGTATGCGTGAACTCAAGGATGTACGTACTGCTCTCTCTCTCTCTCTAGATTTTTACCCGATTTGGGAGTTCATATATTTATGGTCGTTAATCGAGATGAAGTTATAATTGTTGCAGGAGCAGCGACGCGGAGGTGAACTGGAGAATGAACTTACTCAGTTTTTGATTCAATCATACGCATAGAGCAACATTTGTGCCAGATCGAGGCGAAGGAGGAGGACGGTGAAACACTTGTTTCTGTAGAGTTGACTGGAATTTACATAAACCCTAACCATACACACAAAGAATGCGGCAGTTTCTGTTCTTTTAGATTTGTATATTGCAGTAGAATCTCACCCCTAATGAAAGATATTTCCGGCTTGAATTAATCGGCGTTCAGTAGACGCTAGCGCACTTAAGGTATTTGGTAGATTCTCTTCTTCTTCACTCCTCGATAGCCAGCATTTCAACTCGTAGAAGTTGTAACAGATCGTAAATCGCCGCTAACTGACAGTGAGATGCTTCTTCTGAATAAAAACAGTGGACTTCATTTCTCACCTCAACCCAACTGCATCCACCGCTCGTCTTCAATCCTCTATCCCTCTAATCTCCTAATGTCCACAACATCGGTCCATTTTCCGGCCAAAGCGTAGATATTCGACAACATTATGCAGCCTGAAGAGTTTCTTTCTGCTAATTCTGAAAGCTTTTTGGCTGTCCGTTCCGCTATCTCCTCGTTTTTATATCTATTACACCCACTCAATAGAGCAGCCCATGCATTCCTCTCGGGTTGAAATGGCATGGATTTCAGAAGCTCTTCGGCTTCAACAAGTCGTCCTGAACGGGACAGCATATCGACCACGCAGGTGTAGTGCCTTCCCTTTGGCTTTATACCGTAAACAGCCTCCATCGAATTAAAGTACTGCAATCCTTCGTCGACTAAGCCGGTGTGAGAACAAGCGAAAAGAACAGATAAAAGCATGAGCTCGTTAGGAGCAACAATTGAAGTTCTTTTCATTTCCTCAAACAAAAACAGAGATTCCGCAGCAAAACCATTTTCTGCTAACCCCTGAATCATCACAGTCCAACTGATTTCATTCTTCTCGGGCATTCTATCGAACACACTCTTAGAACTCTCAATATCCCCAGATTTCGCATACATATCAGCTAGGGCCGTACCTACAAAAACATCATATTGAACTCCATGTTTAACTGCTTTCCCATGGAGGTTCTTTCCTTTCTCCAACGAGGCTATGCTCGCACAACCAGAGAGCACACTTGAGAAGGTGGATATGTTTGGAGTTTCACCACACAAAAGCATCTCATTAAACACTTCAAATACCTTGTCAAATTGTTTGTTCTCTAAGTAACCTCCGACCATAATATTCCACGATATATTGTTTGGTGCGGGTATGCTATAGAACAACACCTTAGCCTCTTCCATTTGTCCATTCAGACAATACCCGGCAACCATAGAATTCCATGAGACCACATTCTTCTCTGGAATCGAGTCAAATGCTGTACGTCCATCCTTAGTTTCTCCACACTTGCAGTACAAGTCGATAAGAGAGCTACTGATAAAGACATCTTTCTCGAATCCAATTTTCACAACGTGTGCATGGATGTTCATTCCCACTCTTAAAGCCTCAAGGGTGGCCAGCGTGCTAAGAATACTAGCCAAACAAGACCTATTTGGGATGAATCCACTTTGAATCATCTGAAGAAACAGTTTCAAGGCTTCTTCCGGATGTCCACTTTGACTGTACCTTGCAATCATTGCACTCCAAGAAACTTCGTTTCTCTCTGGCATCTCATCAAAGATTCGACGCGCTTCTCTCAAGTCTCCTGTCCCAACATACATATCTAGGATTGCGGTCCAAGATACAACATCTCTCTTTTCCATCTGATCAAATACTCTCCTAGCCAAGGCCTTTTCGCCCATCTTCAAACATAATGTAATTAAGGAATTAGAAACCGATAAATTGTGTTCATATCCAGTCTTAACAATCAACCCTAAAACACTCATCCCCAACCGATCTCACCAAACCCGGCACAAGCTCTAACAACAGAGGTAAATGTAACATCATTAGGCCTGACCCCAGAACCAAGCATCTTCAGGAAAAGCTTCAGTGCTTCAACATTCAACCCGTTCTGCACCAACCCGCTAATCCCAGCCTGTCCAAGAAACCACATTATGAAACGGGTTTCTCTCAAAGTACCACATTGACTCGTCCACCCTTCCGCATCTCATTAACCCCGATATCAACGCAGTCCACAAAACCTCGTTTCTTTCAGGCATTTCATCAAACAGGCGGCGTGCTTCGTTGAGATTTCCCCATTGAATGCTCGCATTGATCAAGCAATTATGCACCGTTGAATCAAACCCATCGAACCCCTTAACGATCTCACTAACTTCATCAGATTTTCTCGAATCCAAGTACATAATTAGAAGCCTGATGGCTATAAATCTCTCCGATGAAAGACCAATTTTGATCAGATGGCCGTGAAGGGCCATTCCGTCGGCGATGCGCCGGTTTTCGGTTAGGGTTTTGAGGAGGGAACCGCATGTTTGCAGGTCAGTTCTGAGATTTTTGATTGCGAGAGTGCCGAAGAGGGTTTTGAATTTGATGGCAGTTCTCATGCTGCGAGCGCGCGAGCCAACTTCAAATCAGCCGACTTATATAGTGAGTAGGCAAGACAGGAGAGAGAAACCTCAGACCATGGTTGACGTGTACTTGTGAAGTATCGACACGTGTCTCCAAGACACATGATTTCAAATTAGCTCGAGAAGAAATTTTTTATTTTGACAGGAATATAGATGGTATAACACATGTTATTATATAAGTGATGAGAAATTTTATTTTTTAAATTATTAATTTTTTAACACACATATCTCACCATTTGTAAAACAAAGTACGGTATACCACTTTGTATACCGATCACATTAAAAAATCTCTTTAGCTTGAGTTATTAAATAAAAAAGTTGTACGGTGATATGAGCTGAACCCTTAGACGAATTTCGGCAAAATATACCGAAAGGAAGAACAGGTTCGACGCATACATATCGAATTCATAGGGAAGACTTCGGCAGTATAACTAAGTCCCCACCTTACATCAACCCAATCTAAAACCAAGCAATATATTCACATCCAAACTCCAACCATTACATAATCGATTAAAGCAATATATCTATGTCCAACCCAATTTCAAACTAACTATTATGGGATGTCTCATTGATTGAAGATGAATTTCAAACTCGTATTCTACACGGCACGACTAGGGTTCGATTCATGACGCTGATGAATTACACGATATGGTTAGAAAAATGTTAAAATGTTTATGTGAGTCTTTCTCATTCAAAAAATATAAAATGTTGTGACGAATTAACAAACTAGCGTCGAATTTGTTTGCATTACACATGCTCGTTCTCTCTTGCTAGCTTCGCTAATTCTACCCTATAACACGACAAAGTTAGTTGTCGATCCCTACCAAGGTTCAATGATTTAAAGGGTGTTTTAGTCTTCTTAGTTAATTTTGTCGCTGTTATATGATGTGAGGAAATTTCCATTTACTGAAAAATCTCAGATCATAATTTGGACTCAAAGGGGGTGTCGCAAGAAAGGAAATGCCAAATAGTAATCTTTCCTCGTTGTATCATTCTTCTACACATATTTTATGTCGGCAACGACCACAAATCAATATCACTCGAATGTATCTTTTACTTTGATCAATCATGAGTAGGGGAAAACCGTGTTCATTTACCGTTTGTGAGAATAGTTATGAATTAATATCAAACGGTGAGTGATTAATTTTTTCTTAGCGTTTAGAGAACCGTTATAAATGATCAGTTATTGTTAGATTATGATTAAACAGTGAGTAACCAAGTTTTTCTTAGACCCTAGAGTATGAGAGAACAGTTATGAATCTCAAGAAGGTCGGGGTTCTATCATAAAACCAATTGGTAATATAGGGAGTGGTCAAATTACTTATGAGCACATGCAAGATCCCACATTTTCCTAATGTGAGAGTGATTCTCTCAACACACTCCTCACGTGTAACGAATTTTCCAGCCTAGCAAGTGCGACTATTAAACTTCACACATGAGACAAGTTGCTATGATACAATGAAGCATGGAGTTCCACCATAAAACCAATTGGTAATACGAGGAGTAGCTCAACTACTTATAAGCACATGCAAAATCCATATTTTCTTGATGTGGAATGATACTCTCAACAGAATCAATCATCTTACTTTCACTTAAGATATGATTTTTTTTTTTTTTTATGCAAAGAATTTTATGATTAAGAATCCTCAATTTACATCTTTATCATCTTTTACACAATCAATATGAGAGAAATCGAACTTAGAATCTTGATTACACAGATAAACGCTCCTTGCAAAAATTACAATGTCGTTGTGTCTTGTTTCTTTTTATGAAAAAACAATAAATCATAAATTGAAGGTGAAAGTGAAATTAAGAAAACAAGAGCAGTTGCAACCTTCCCGGAAGAAAAAAAAGACCACGAGCATGCCTTTATTCCAATTTGTATATAGAACCGTCCTGATTAGAAATCAAGGTCGAGACTGACCAAACAAAGTCAAAATTCTGTCACCAATTGAGAGGATAAAACGCGCTATTCAATACATGTTTGTCTCACAATAATCAATTCATCTTGGTTGTAAGCTTAAAACTGTTGTCTTGAAAAAATTCTTGTGTGTCCGATAGTCGGATTATGTAAAGTCTGATCCACTCACAATGGAATGAAAACTTTGCGTTGGGCTTTGTACTTATTTTCTTCCTTGAGAAAAGCTAAGGAGATTTTCTTAAAAGTGAAACTCTTCGTGAAATTTTTGTTACCTCATATTTTTTACACAATGTTTTATAATATTCGTACGAAAATTAACGTTAAACTATAAAATGCCAGAGAATTCACGAAGAATCCAAATTCAAGTGTCTCCGCAACATTTCTCTTCTTCCTTTGCATTGTGTTTTGTACTTCATTAAAATTAAGTGGTACCTAAACATAACTAATTTGTTTCTTTGTGTTTGATTTAATTGTCGGACGCATGAATTTCTCCTTCTTGTAAATTTGAAAGAAGAGATTTTAACAAAACACACTGATCTTTATACGATGGTTGGACAAACGTAATGATTATTGTTATTGGAAGTCAGTGGCCCCTTCTTATCTTGTCCTTGTCCTCATAATTCCAAGAGAACGAATTGAACACTTTGAAAGCAAAAGGTGGAACTAGTGAAAGCACATTAATTTGCAAATTCATACTTGAGAGATTGAAACAAGAAAGGCTTATATAGAACGAGTTCATTGTTATGGTGGTGTTCAATTTAATAATGTAATGGTACGTATAATTGTCCTTCTACATGTCATTG